TCGACCATACCTTCCCATACAGCTAATGAAGTTACTATCTACCGAAAGATCGTCATAAAGGCCTTTCCTTCATACTTAAGTCTACGCTCTTTGTGTATATAGAAAAGTTATCCAGAATGTTGGAGTCTGCACTAGTTCCAAAGTAACACGCACTTGGGATTTGAACCGGGGACCTCAAAACTTGGGGCTCGCTCCGCTAACCCCTACACCACCGACGAACGGCTGCGCAGCTCAGTTAAAAGCTTTATTAATTCGTCACCGCAGGATCTGGTAGGATATTCGTGTAATGGTTGTCAAACGATAGCCTACAAGATGTATCAACTAGAGGAAGAAGTACGAAATCTGAAGGAACTTATACACAAGACTGTTCCTTCAGAGAACCGCCCGGTGTTATCTACGCAGAGGCTAACTCGGAGTAGAGCGAGAGCCATCCAGCGTAAGGAATCCCCAGAAAGCAATTATGGGGCGAATAAGACAACTACTATTAGTAATCAAATCGTGGCTTCCGATGCAAAAAAGAATAAGAGGAAGAAGACGACACTTAACACCACAGGGAAAAGTCGCCAGAATACGAAAGAGAGTATATTAGCCTTACCCGAAAAGCGGTTGGAAAATGAAACGAATGTAAATGTGCCAACGGAAGAAGTGGAAGTAATGGGGCAGATGACGCCCAATCTTAATAATTCCCAGACAGTGCTCTCATTTCCTGAGCCTAACTTAGAGGGATTATCAGTTAGCGCAAAGGCATATGGCTATGGACCCAGGGTAGAATTAGCTGCCACCGCGAATTCCCATGTCAACAGAGTCAAGAACCGAGCTGAGGAAGCCTCTAGTTCATGGGGGTCAAGCTCTTCGCAGAGCCCTCTGATGGGAGGTATTGTTGATAGATCCCAGTGTGCAACTATTCACGATGCCTTAACAGGATCCGCGAACGAACTTCACGGGGACATAAATACCAATATGGCAGCCCCTTCCTCTTCTCCAGTCCACTTCGACGAGGCAATACGGCCAGCCAACGACGTCCAAATCGCAGAAAACAGAGGAATGCTTAACAAGGACCACTGTGTCATAATTCAGGGCCTCGCAGAGTCCTCCGCCAGTTCCCCCAGGGAACGAATCGTTGCTGAATTAGAGCAATTCCAGAAACTCCTCAATGAAATGCTGCAACCAACAGAAGATGTCACAGTCCTAAAGGCGTTTCGTCTTGGTAGCCGTACAAATGCCGCTCCGAAGACGCGACCACGACCCCTAAAAATCGTCCTTGGTAGCAATGAGCAGGCGAAACTAATACTTTCCAGGCGTTTTCGATTGAAGCATTCCCATAAAGGAGTGTTTTTTCAGCCGGACTACTCACCTGCCGAGAGAATGAAACGCCGCGAACTTGTCCTAGAATTGAGAACACGGCAAACCAACGGAGAGAAAAACTTGACAATTTACAAAGACCGGATTGACAAACGACATTCCGCTCCCCTCTGGATCAAGCCGATCCGAATGACTGCACAGCTACCCCAGTAGCCCGTGTCGGGTTTGAAAACAAATCTCGCATGAACTCAAAACTCATATTCATGTATACCAACGCGCATAGTGTACTTTCTAAACTGGACGAACTCCGTATCCATAACTACGACCTCCATCCAGATGTTATCTCAATAACAGAAACATGGTTGTCCGAACAGTTTGATGATAGAGAGCTCATGCTCCCTGGATTTCAACTGTTCCGCCGAGACAGAGAAAACAGAAGGGGTGGAGGCATAATAACATTTGTTAAGAACGGCTTGCACGTTTCAGAAAAAACTGCCCAACTGACTTGTAGTACCGAAGCATTATGGCTGACCATAAGGGCACCGGGCTCTCAAAGTCTCGATATCTTGACAGTATATCGCCCCCCGAGAAATGACCCTGACGCTGATGCCCAACTGCTGGAGGAGCTCAGATTATTTTCCACGCGGCCAACCACTCTCATCGTTGGAGATTTTAATGCACCTCACATCGACTGGAGCTCGGCCTCAGCCGACTGCTCTGAAGCAGCATTTGACCAGCAGCTACTGCGTACCTCCGACAACCTGCTTCTCACACAACACGTAATGTTTCCAACTAGAGTTCGAGAGGGCCAACAGATGAACTGCCTCGATCTTGTGTTCACCAAGTCGTCTGACAACATCGACGTTGTGAATTGCCTCCCCCGTTGGGTCAGAGTGACCATGTAGTTCTCATGTGGGAATACACGTTATTCTCCCTTCCTACACAACCGCTCGATTCCCGACCCAATATTTGGCGCGGCGATTTCGAAAAGATGAAAAAGGATCTTAGTCCTATCGACTGGGCATCCACTCTCTCCGGCGATGTCGAAGAGGCTTGGTGTCAGTTCAAAGAGTTAGTCCACAACCTCATCTCCAACCACTGTCCAATCATGCGCAAAAGACTAACAAATAGACCTCGCTGGTTGACTCCGTCATTAAAGAAGGAAGTTAACAAGAAGAGGAAGCTATGGAAAAGATCGCTGACGGATCGCACGCCAGAATCCCTAAGCAGTTATAAGTTACAGATAAATCGGGTCAAAATTCTCATCGCCAGAGATAGGAAAGCTTTTGAAAAGAATCTTTTGAACCGTGCCATATATACCAGAAAACACACGGGGAAAGCTGGGGGACCCACTGACGAGCCGAACCCCTCGCAGCTGCGTCAGGCAGCGGCACAAGATCGGCGAAACACGCGTGTCTGGGCTTTTAGCTAATACCTGTGTTGTTAGTACGGTAAATTATTGCACAATGCTAAACTAATACTGATACTGATACTATGCAGCGAAAAATGGGTTTTCTTTAGACGGCCGTTCAATAGGGGATTTTGTTTGAGGAGAGAGGAACTCGTGCGGCATGACATCTGGGTTATTGAATTGTTGTTTAGCTGGTTACACAGTCTCTTAACTATGGTGAGGACGATTGTTCGACCCTGTTTTGGCCAAAACTGTTTTAGGCAAACTAAACCGCCTTCTATTTGTTGTCATAATCGGAGATCTGCATGCGGTCAGGTCAAAATAAATTTTGTGACCAAACAGGCTTTCGAACATATAGGATGTTTCTGACGCCCGAAAAAATCACCTCTAAGGATCAATTCTGTTTAAGCTTATTCGAAGATTCTAACGGTCGGTTATCAAAACCAGAAGAACACATCTAGAGTACGATGAAGTAAATTAGAATTGTGACGCGGAGACGGGAAATTTGATGGTTGCATGATCCATGCGGATCCTTCACTCTTACACTCTTACAGTATAAGTAGGCCAATCGGAGTGTGTGTAAATAGTTATGAGGCATGTTGTATTGAGGTGGTTCAGATGACTGTCATGGAGAGAGGAAGGGAGCCTCAATTGGTGGACAGAATATTGACTCAGTCTAATGTTCTGAGTAAACGCTCTGATCCATCATTAAAGGCAGCAACAAATCAGCTCAGGAGATACGCACAATGTTGTAGCGTCTACAGGAGGCAAATGCTACAAAGACACGTATCTGCCTATGCTAACACCTAACGCATTTATCCCGGATGATGCTACGCAGTGCAGTGAGTCCTACATCGAGCGGCTGTTTCTTCATCATTGTTGTCGGTTATGGACGTGACACTGGCATGACAGGTTAGTCCACTTATATGGATACAGGAACTAGTGCTCGCCGTTGCACTCCCGACGTAGGTGTTTACTTTGTCCAGGCAAAGTCTCGGCACTGAATATAGAAGGAATGGTTAATTGCGCCCGTGACTCATACGCTCGTTACCTTTCGTGCACACATTAGGTCCGTTGAACCTGAAGGCGTGGTTCAGTCCCATGGAATGCGTCCTGGTTCGTGAGTTGGAAACCGTCATTGGCACTGTTGCTGCCGCTGCTGCCTCTGCATGTCTAGTCCTTAGTTTTCCGCGTAGTGGCTCTGCCTAAAAGGATTCCGGAAACTTTCTTGCGTAAAAATAGATCTTTCTACCTTATTTCATGGCTCCTGTTAGTGGCCTCCGATATGTATGCAATCTCAAGTCCACGTAACGTGCGGTGGCGACTGAATGCCTCCGAGAAGGTTAACGGAATGTTGCAGTGTGCTCTATCATGCCTTATGTGGATGCACCAGCCCGCGAGTTTGTGCGGGTAATGTTGGAGACCAGTATACTTTTCTTTAAATGTTCTGCACTGCATCTCAGCAAGCCGGTATAGCATCCTTCAGAAAATGCTTTCATAGCTAATTGGGTGGTTGGTGCCGAGGCTCAGTATTTGCGTCGTATCTTTCGTTTTCCTGAACATTTCACTTCATATGTCATCATACTCGTCGTGATAGACGACGACATCAAGAAAAGTCAGCTTGTTTTTTTATCTCTCCTAAATCCTAGATAGTTTATCTTGAAGGACAATGGTTAAATGTTATATAAGTGCCGACACCTAGCCCCATTCCATTCTGTCAAAGGTATTACCCATCAGGCGAACCTAAAGTTTTGTCCTGTGCTATGAGGTGACCAGTGACTCGAACGGTTGTAAGACCGGCTCGGCTATGGATCTCAATATAAATGAAGTCATTACGTCTGCCTTCCGTCCACCGCTAGATTGTTTCGTCCAATGCGAAGTGCTGGTGATTTAAAGTCTCGGTATTTGGAGGATTGAGATGACTCCGGGGCAATTTGCCATTAAAGGATACTTGTCTTTAAGGATTACGTCGGTGATATTAGCTGCCAGATTCTAGGAAAAAGAAGTAAAGTGGAGCATGACATTGGTTTATATCATGACCTTCTTTGACAGGGGACTTGACTGTTTACATTTTTTTCGAAAATAATGTTAACGAGTTTATTGGGGCGTCCTTTCCACTTTTGGTGCATAAACAGTGACATTTCTCAGCTACAGAATCTTCGAAAGTTAACCGTGATTGCCGCGTATCCTCTGCCCCCAAAAACGTCCACAGAAATGATGTGTTGGACCAACACAGGGGCAAGATCGGAGTCCAGCAGACATTAACGCGGACGAACACCCATTACAGATGGAGGCGGTCGCAGGCCCAGCTGCCGGTCCACACCGCGCCAATTGGAATCCGTGCGACCCCCATCTTCTCCTGATGAGTAAAATTCTGGTGAGACGTCTGGTGGTACGTCTAGCTGCATGTTTTAGTCGCGCCAGCCACCTGCGACCTCTCCCGTCTCCGATCTTCTTTATTTTGCTCTAACACTGGATCCAGGTGGCGAAGGAGGAGGAGGAGGAAGAGGAGGAGGAAGAGGAGGAGGAAAGTGCACGCGAAAAAACACGCTGTCGAAATAGTCGGGAACGGCGGTCGAACAGTCATGGGTTTCTGTAGGAAATATCTGTTCGTGTATATCACAATATCCAGAATGGTGTTAACGACAAAGATAAGGGCGATTGGAATGGCCATTTCTGGCTTATTAGTCATTGTCAGGCAGTCATATCCAATCCCGATGTGTGGGACACTCGAGGATTGAACTGGCGACCAGTTAGTTTAAAGTCCAACGCCCCTAACTACTGGCCCACGGGCCCGTCGTCCTGTCGGTTGCGATCGGAAATAGACAATGGTAGAGAAGGGCTCACGGATCCTTCTTACGGAACTCACTCATTTCGTTGTGCCTTGCGCGCTCTTTCTCGAGTCCAACCAGCAGCCGCACAGTGGCTCATGATATAGGCAGAATGGTGTTACCGACGATCGGTGAGCGGCCCTCCACCATTGTATATTCCCGATCGCAACCGACAGGAAGAAGGGCCCATGGGCCAGTGGTTAGGGTCGTTGGACTTCTAACTAACAGGTCGCAAGTTCGATCCTCGAGTGTCCCACACTTCGGGGTTGGGTATGACTGTCTGACTACGGCTAATAAGCCGAAAATAGCCATTCCAGTCTCCCTTATCTTTGTCGGAAACACCATTCTGCCTATATCGTGCGTCGCTGTGCGGCTGTCGGTTGGACTCGAGGGAGAGCCCGTAAGGCACAACGGAAGGGGTATGTTCCGTAGAAAAGATCGGTGAGCGCCACCTCTATCATATCACAATAATTTGCTTATCAATCTGACACTTACCCGTATCAAACCTTCGGACAACTGGACGCGGTAATAGGCGTCGGGAGACCGGATGTGCGGGGTCCTTAAAAAGGAGGTGAATTTGGCGACGATAGAGCGATCCCGAATATCGGTTGTAATGCAGACGAAGCATCAAGATCGAAACACCCCGGAGAGGTCGGCGGCCGTATTTAAAACAGAGTCAAGAGACGAATTTGTATAACGTCCAACTTGTAGCGAAAACAATGTCTTGGATGTGCGCGCCATTCCCAATTCTGCATGTAGATTTATATGTACTTACAGATGCGAGTATTTTATTCAAACACAAAAACCGTTTTCATCCAGGCTCGTTGGAAAATTGCCTAAATAGTTCCTGAAGGCAGACCTAAGTTTGTTATTTTCCTACCATGAAGCACCTCCTCCGTAATAGATGCTAGGTTTCCGGTTAGATGCATACATCTACCCTGTACGTTTGATACGCCGTATGTCAGATTAATCCATGCAATTTTTCCTGCGTCTTATCGTGGACTATAAAAATACGTTTACTATGGCAGGATAGACAATATTAATATCAAAAAAGCTTTAACACGGCGATGATGATTTTTAGGCTGCTAAAACTTAACGTGTTGACTACCTACCCACTGGACTTTTGGCCTTGGAACAGCATTTCCTATTCATTTCCATCGAACGGGTCAGGAGACAAAGACTATTACTCCATTTTGGTAACAGTGTCTGTTGATTTGAAGATCAGCCTAGAGGCAATAACGCTAGAACGCTCAATGTAAGGTCGGGCCGTTAGGGGGAAGATTAGTAGTTTAACTATTTTCACGCCCTTCGACAGCAACTACATAATTTGATGTGTTTGCCGGTACAAGTCAAAACCAGTTTCCCCGGAACAAGTTCAAAAGAAATGGACGAGATATCTGAAACGAGTGCTTTATTCGCCGGAAGATCCGGTTTCCTGCTGATGACGTCAGCGAAGCTGTAATACAGTACCCGGCCACTGATGACTGAACTCGTGTCAACTGCGCGGGCCAATGAAATGAGCTCCCATGTCGCGGGTTATTTGACGGGAATCCAGTTGCTCATTCAAACTCGACATGGCCGAAGTTCTCTCA